AAACCCCAAAAAAACAAAAGAAAACTAAATATATTAAGAAAAAAAAAAAAAAAAAAAAGGTTAAAATGCCCACGTCCCCCTCTGCTTGCGTGTAGTGGTGAATGCATATGTAGGGCACACTCACATATGTAAACCGTGTTCAAACCACACATGTTAGATATCACCACGAACGTCAAAGCAGCAGCAATAATTATAGCACTAGACCTCCTCTGTAACTTTAAACTAGTAACCTGTGGACATTTTTAAAACGTCACCCATGGATATTTTTAAGTACTGTACGTTGACGCTATTCCACGAGTGTGCGCAATTTTAAAGCAGGACATGTTGGGTATTTACTCGGCGTAATCTTTAATATTTTACAAAAATATTGGGGAATATATAGTGTTTCTGTAATCATTAAAGTGCATGTTTTTCCCAAAAAATTATGTTTGAAAAATATATTGATTTTTAAAAAAACTGTCTATTTCGTTTTTTGGCCAAGTGCATCCAGAATTTTAAGTTTTGACACCAGAATTTTAATTTCGGTGCACCACTAATTTAACAGCAAGGACATTTCATAGATGGACTTATTGCACAGGTGGCAACCTATCACGGTACCACGCATGTATTCGTTGGGTCGCTCACAGAAGCAAACTCTTTCACAAATGTTTATAGAAGCAGTCTGCATGCCTAGGTGCTTGATTTTATACACCTGTGGCCATGGAGGCGATTGAAACGTGTGCGTGTAAAAACCACAAACTTACAAAAGCATTAATATGAACACTATGAACAGCAATGCTTGCTTTGCTCTTTGGTGGCTATTTTACCCAGCTCTTAAAACCTGTAGATCATTAAGTGTATATATATATATACACATATATATTGTTATTATAGCCAAATTTACCACCCTAACTCCTCCCACAGTTTTTACACTACATAGACTGTAATATACCGAAACGTGCGGATTGTTCCTGATTGGTGTGCTATTACTTTGTGGAACGTTTCGCCGAATGGTTCACGAAATATCGGCGTTTTTGTGGCGAAATTGGTCCCATAGGAATGAATGGCAGAATGTTCAAAACTAGAGTGGGAGCTGACAAAAGCTAGAGTGTGAGCTGAAAAATCAGGACATGATTTCTAAACTGCCACCACTCCCTCATTTTCAAGCCCACCTACACAAATCTTATATCAAAACATTCAGCTATCCCTGCTGCCACTAAAAATGTCCACGGCTAAGCCATAGTCCAGATAGTTTTCACAATATGACCATTTGTTTGCAACTCACACCGCCCATTGACATTCATTGAAAATCCACTCTAGCCACCTCACATTTGAAGGGCAATTTCTAAACTGCGACTGTGCCTTAATTTGTAATATTTCAGAGACATACTATGCATCAACATGTAGGACTGGGTCTTGTGATTCTCACAATATAAAGCTCTTCTTTGTAGGATGTATAATTTTTAAACTACAACCGTTTGAAGATGGCAACCGCCAGTTAAGTGAGCAAGTTGGAGCAGTTTGTTTTTAACCGCTCTTCTCTGCCCTTGCTGTAGAGCGAGTTGCCATAGGAACCCAGGTGTGTAAGCAGGCAGCAGAGTGGAGGCAAGAACACTTCACACAATTTCCCCAGAAATTGTAGCTTTTCTAGTTTAGCTTACATCAAGTTAGCCTTGCCTAGGATGCATTCCGCAGCCCAAAGAAGAGGTGTACTATGAAAAGGTGCTGCATTCTGAGGAAAGGAAGCAAATTCACAAAGAAGAAGTAACATGCCTTATGACCATATTATATGCAGTATGCTTATTCAGACATCAAGAATACCTTTCACCTTTAAAGAAGAAATCCAGGGAAAATTTTTATTTTCCCATGCAGTGGGGCTGTGCCTGCACTGCATGGGTTAAATGCTTATTTTTGTCTATGGGTTTATAAAGCAGATATATACTTACCGAATCGGCTGCTCCTCCAAGCACAAGACTGGTCCCCACCGCTCCTGCCTCCCCTACACGCTCTTGTGAATGGGCTGTTCCTGATGTCATCATGCCCACAGACCGACTCTGGACGCAAGGACAGCAGGAACAGTCTACTGCTGGACGTGGGGGAGCTTGGTTTTCTGGAGGATCGGAGGACAGGGGCATAGCTTTGCCCTAAGCCCCTCAACAAAACAAGCAGTTAACCCATGCAGTGTGGCAGCCCCACTGCATAGGTAAATAAAAAATTTAACTGCAGTTCAGCTTTAAAATAATTGACATCTACATTGGAAGTATGCAAATAAACTGGGAGGTCATAAACCTTGTTCTTAATATTTGGAAGGCAAGGTGGTCAGTTAATTCAGTGACTTCCCTTCTAGAATTTAAAAATAGTTTAGATGTAAAACCACACTATGACCTTGTGCAACTGTTCATCCTGTAAAACATCTACAGGCTGCAGTCAAATAGCTCGAGTCCAAATATGAAGCATATTTCACAATCTGTATTGCATCATTTTACTGTATATACAGCACTGTGCAAAAGTTTAAAACACTTACAGAAAATGCTTTAAAAATGAAATAAATAATTTCTTGTCAACCTGAAAAGGGCATAAAAAAGGAGAAAAACACATTTTTAAAATCAATATTTGTGTGATCACCCTTTGAGGGAATTATTAACACTTACTGCGCAATTATAATGGGGCTGAAAACCAACGCGAGTGGTGTGCACCACGTTAAAGCAGATAGACCTGTTTCAGTGTGATCTGCTTCAGTTTTTATTACAGAGAAAAAATAGAAAATGGCACGGGCCCTACACCTAACAAAGGGGAAGTGGAAGTTTTCAACATACAAAACTGCTGCTGATTCTCCCACCAGTTTGGACCTGGTATAAAAGCTGTGAGCCGTCTGCCGGCAGCTGCAGGTTTGATTGAAGGCCTTTTTCACATGGGCAATCTGATCAGGCCCGCCTGTCAATTTTTCAGGTGGACCTGATTGGATGGTCCATGCATCCCTATGGACAGACAAGTCCATTTACAACTGCCTATCTTCGGGTCTAATCCAGTCCAATAAAAAAAAACCACAGAAGGAAATCCGTTCTCTTCCATTTAGGCGGATTGGACTGGTGGGTAGCCAGGTGTAAATGAAGAGCAGAGTGTTTAGTCCTGGCTGCCCATACAGCAGAGTAGGCTCTGTCTGTGTCCACTATTAAGAAACTGAGTGGACATGGATGTGTCATCCGTCCACTCTGCTCCAATCATCAGGGACTCAGTGAGTGGATCCCCTGGCGATCAGAACTTAATTCGCCCCAGGTGAAAGGCCAAAAGGTGGTTGCTGACCTCAAGACATGCTCCTAAATTCTACATTAAAACTCAACTCCAAGCAAACAGGTAAACACACATCTAAAATTACAAATAGATGAGCTGTCCAATCTGCCAATGGACTTGCAAACATGTCTAGCCCTGTATTCATACACATCTACAAGACAGCGCAACCAGTTTGGGCAATACAACTTCTCCTATAGAGTTAAAGTGGAAATCCAGTCAAGCACTAATTAAACCTGCCCTCACTCCCATTCTAAGCCCTATTCAAACTAGAAAGATGTCTATATGTACCTATTATGAGGGTATGCTGGTCCGGTCACATAATCAGCTTCCATCGCCAGCTTCAGTGTAGAAAAAGGGACAGCCGACAACAGACGCCCCATAGTAAACCTATGGATAATGTCACTGTCAACAATGGCTGCAATGCTTGTGCGATCTCTCCTCTTCACTGAGATCATGTGACCAGACCAGAGAGCCCTGAGAATAGGAATGTATGCACATCTTTCCTTTATAGGAAAGTTAGAATAGGGCTTAGAATGGTGGTAGGAGCAGATTTAACCACTTGCCGACCACGATATAGCCAAAAGATGGCTACAGCGCGATTGGCTAGCTCTGGGAGGGCATCCATGGATGTCCTCCCAGAAATACGCACCCTGCCCCCCCCTATTCCAGCTTCGGACACAGCTGATCACGGATCGAGGCCAAGGGTCAATCAGAGCGGCCATTCACCATGTGATCAGCTGTGTCCAAGCATAGCTGATCAACGTGTAAACCGAAAATGCTGGTTATCAACAGTCCTCTCCTCATGCTGATAGTGCGCGAGGAGCCGGTAAGCGGCATTCCTCAGAGGGGACATCTACACTGATCATCATGGCACTGATCCCTTATTTACAAAAACTTCATAACAAGCTAAGAAAAACTTTTTTTTTTTCCTTCCAAATTGTTAATCTTTTTTCGTTTGTCTAGCAAAAAATAAAAAAAAACCCAGTGGTGATTAAATATCACCAAAATAAAGCTCAATTTGTCTAAAAAGAAATAAAAAAAAAAATAAATAAAAATTTGGCTTGGGTACAGTGTGGCATGACTGCGCAAAAGTACAACAGCACTGAAAGATGAAAATTGGACTGGGCAGGAAGGGGTTAAAAATGCCCAGTAGGCAAGTAGTTAAGTATATTTAGTATTTGACTGGACTTGCACTTTAAAGAATACAGTGATGTCACATTTCAGCTTGTAGACTGACTAATGAAGGAGCAGCTACACACTAATTAGGCATTAACTCTACCATCTACTGCTGTTAGCACGTTTCCAGCCAATACATATGCATGCGGCCAAATCTTATAAACTCAGAGCGCTGCTTCTCCTTTCCCTGAATCCTGCTATACAAGAGAACAGATTTTAAGGGAATAAACAACGGCATTAAATATTTTTTTTTTTTTGGCTTTAGTTTCTCCAAGATTAGTACACTTCACTTTATCAGCAGGTGCGGCAACTTATTGGGATGATTTTAAGAGAAAAATAGGGGAGGCTTATAATACAAGCATTAATTCTATTTTACATGTCAATTTAGAAACACCAAAAGTTACCTGTTTGTCAGCTACATGTGCCTCAGTGTTCAGAGGAATCTGAGCTTCAACTACTTCTAGTGCAGCGGTGTGTGTCAATCTGCCATTCTTTGAAGAGTTTCTTTTTTCCAGATCTGTACTCTTTTTGTCATGGCCATTTAAGTTTTGGTGGAAGAAAAGACTTTTCAATGGCATAGGTAAAAACCATGAGGTGGCAAAAGCAACAGAGACACTGATTAGAGATATGACATTCAAACTGAATAAGGACCAGTTGGTCACAGACACCAGAACTTGGCCTGTAACAGAGCCAACAGTAAAACCAGTTAGTGTAGCAGTACGGCAATAGCTGGTTACTTTTTGGTACATGCTATGGTCAACAATGCTGTAAATATAAGAGTAATAGGCTATCTCTGTTGCTGTGGATATGCCATAAAAAAATTCAAGGAATTGGACTGCTAATGTGCCTTGAGCATACAAAAGCATAAACCATGTGATTATCAGGCTTAAACCCTGCATGATTATCACCGGCTTATAACGCAGATAGTCTGTAGCAAGAAATACAGGAAACAGCAGGACCAGGTAGGAATATGTCCAGACAGG